CCTTGACTTGGGGAATAGCCTCTGCACAGCTCTGAAGAAAGTCTGCAAACTCTCTCAGTGCTAAAGGATCGTTAGCGGCTATTTTGGGCCATTTTGTAAGCTTGTTTCTAAATGCTCTTTGCACAATGAATGGGTTGCCATACCTTTCTTGCAGAACATTCCATTTGCTCTGGTATGCCTCTTCAGTGTTACGATAAAAATATCCCTCTACTGCCTTTCGAGCTTCACCTGCAATATAACTCTTTAGATACAATATTTTCTCGCATGCAGGTAAGGGTTTGTTGCCAATTAGTGTCATAAAGGATACTTTCCAGTCAACAAACTTTAGAGGGTCACCACTAAAGATAGCCGGCTCAGGTACTGGAAGTCGGTTTAAGGTAAGGGAGTTTGCTAGAGCTTCAGCTAAACTAAGTTCTCCTCGTTCTGCACCGGTGTAGTGATGCTTAAACGACGGAGCCAACGGATTTAAGGAGGGCTGTGGTACACTGACAGAGTCGTTTAGAGTGTTCTCAAAGTTGTTGCAGGATGCTAGATCACAGCTTTCAATATCATTTACAGTGCCTAAAGCTCTTACACGTGCTGCTGCTATTCTTACTTCACTTTCTGCCTTTAAATGCTGCAGTTTGATTTTTTTCCTGCTCAAGCTTTGCCTTTGTTTCCACTTCTTCTTGTTTTAACTTAGCCAGTGCTTCATTTTCCTTTAACTTCCATTCATTCTCCATTTGGTTGACTTTAGTTTGCTGTGCAAGTATTTCATGCGTAGCCTTTGCTTGTTCCATTTTAGCTGCAAATTCAGCTTCTGCTTCACGACTGCTTGAAGAATCTGTCTTTGAGTGTGCAACTGAACCGTCTGGGAATGATGTTTCAGTTTTTGTATCTCCAAACACAGAACCATAGTCATTTTTGTTTAGCATCAACCTTACTCTTTCCTTCTCAAGATGATCATTGAAGGGCTGATCAATATTTTCTTGTCGTTTAGCAATAATCTCACAAATGTCTGTGGTAAGCACAGTACAGGCATCCATTCTTTTTACTACGTTTGGAGTCATGTTTTGGTTGCGGCGAATGGGTTCATAATGTTGTTGTACAGCCGCATGCTTGTCTCTTATGTCATGACTGGCACTGTTTAAATCTACAGGTGAGCAGAAGGCCTTCAGTTTTGTTCTAATTTCTTTAGCCGACTCCTTCCAAGAATTATATGCTCTGTCAAATGCTCGTTCGTGTTTCTTTGCATCCTGTTCATGCATTTCTTTGCCCTTTTCAGTTAGGTGTCTTTCACGATTGCTGGATCTCACCTCTTGCTGTTCTAAGTTGTTGGGTTCTTCAGCAGGGTTCAACATTTTGTTCCTTTACTGTGTGTGTTTACTCTTTGTAGTGATGTCTGGACTTAAATCTGAATAAATGTTGCCTTAACTTTAAGACTATATGGGAAACAACGCTCAGATCAGACATTTAAACCATATAGGTGTACAATTTAGCATCCACACATATAACAAATGTGACTGTAAATACTGCTGATATACCACAAATTATTTAGAGGATAAGCCACCCATACAACTTAAGAAATAGCATTTACTTAATGCAAACAAACTGTAGTTTTAAGACAATAAAACCACGACTGCATTTAAGGCTTTGAACTCTTAATTACTGTGCAGGTAATTTGGTCCTTTTATCAGCAAAGTCCTTATTGAGTAAAATACCTGAACCTTTATGAATAACCGAGACAGAGTCCAATATGAAGAGTTGTGAGGAAGTGGCAATGATTCTTGACAGGAGTTGAGTCTCTCTCGGCTGGCGCAGGCCTGATATGGGACCGTCTTTCACTCAGCGACGAGTTTTCACTGTAGCAGTCCCTCAGACCCAATAAAGAAAACGGAGAGCTTCGACGGGTGCAGTAGATTTGTATTTACACCGTGAAAACTAAAAGAAAAGAAAATACATTTTGTTTAACATGAATACATAATACTAATAATAACGCTAACTAAAGCAATAAAGCTCTAAACATGAACCTCGCTCCGCTGTCCGAGGGCCGCAAAGTCCATGGCACAAAGTCCGTGCCGTGCCACCTCCAGCTTCCAGTCCGTTCTGAAGAATCAGCGCTACAGTCCAGTCGTTGAGATGAAGAACATCATCCTCTTCCTCCCGTCCGTGGGATATTTCAGCCCAAAACGCTGGCTGACAGGAGGCTAGCAACACTTCCTCTCATTCTACAGTTTTAAATGAAGGCACTAACTCAACATGAACCAAACTACAGCGCCCCTGCTGGGTACTATGGGTAACAACTTAGAATCAGCATATAAAACATGGAACGGGCATTTACACATTATTTTGCAAACATTTATATTTCAGTGTTCTACCGAAGCATTACTATTTAGTCAATAAGTACTACATTGCATTGCAGAAAAAAAGTATCAAGAAGTAATGAGTGATTTCTAAAGCACAATGAATGGTAATGTGATGGACTGCTGATGCGTCCACAGTGTATCCAGACCTCCACCTATTGGCCTTTGCAGATAGAAATAAGCTTGTTGAAACACAAACATTAATTATTGGAAAGATTAACTAGATGGATAGAAATAATAAATCCTCTTTCTGACAGAGGCTTTGAAATATTCCTGGTCTCCTTGAGGTTCATGATGCTTTAGTTTCCATCACATTGTTGACATAGGTTGGCTCTTCTGTTTCCTGTAGACAGAAAAAACAAAATGTATTTTACAGTAAATGTACTTGAGCTCAAACTGTTTCAGAGGAAATAAAGGCTGGTCTCATTATTTTCAGTCTCACTGGATTCCCAACTAAAAACTCAAAACACTATATTTGTCCTTTAATGAGATGGTAAGTTGTAGTTTTGTGGTGATCGTCTGAAATTTGGTGGTGAGTTTGATTCCAGCTTCCTTTCATCATATGTTGAAATGTCTTTTTGTAAGATTGAACCCTAAGTTACCTAATAATCCTGTGCATCAGTGTATGGATGTGTTTGAGGGAATGTAACTCACTGTAAACTCTAAGTATTTTAGAAGTTTAAGTACTATATCTATGCAGGATATTTACCATTGTGGTAAAGAAAATGAGCTGATGATAAGGACACTGCATTTTCGCCTTAACCATTTCTGAAATTGTTTGACATAAAATAAAATTATGTCGCCTGAACAATCTTGTCTAACAAATTGCCACACATCGTTTGTGTCAGGATGCAAACAATGAACTCAGTTAGTTTACCTTCTTTGGTTTCTTGGAGAATCTGAACCAGCTGAAAGAAAAAAGAAATATTGAAACACCAACATCTAACAGCAGCTGCAAAGTATCAACTCATAAAAGATAATCTCACCACTCAAAGCTGATGATGCTAATGCAGAGCAATACAATGCCCAGGATCTTCAATATATTAAGGACCAGGAATCCAGATGATCGATCATCTGGAACAAAAAAACCCACTTAGTCCTCATGAGTCCTCATAATTTGTTGCAAATAAATCAAATTGGATGTTTTTTTTTTGTTTGTTTATTGTTGTTTTTTTTTTTTTTTTTTTTTTTTTTTTTTTTTTTTTTTTTTTTTTTTTTTTTTTTTTTTTGCTTTATAAGCCAAAATCTGGACAGTAATTCTTTATAAAAAAAAATGACAAAATATGAATTCTGAAATATGATGCAAGTCATAGTATGATACTAAAGAACATGACTAGATGACTTTTAGTTAATATCTTACCTTTAATACCAACAAAACTCACAGATGATTTTTGTTGATCCAAATCATTTGTGGCCACACAGTAATACTCTTCTTCCTCAGTAGCATTTAATTTGTAAACTTGCTCCACAGACACATTAACGGCTCCATGTCTGCTGATCCAGAACCAGGTGAATCTGGGTGGAGGTTTGGCTCTGCTGGAGCAGCTCAGCT